CCCCCCCGTTTCCAACTTTAGGCACTGAAATACTACCTGGCGCTGCGGTCACCGCCGAGGGCGTTTAAGGCGGCCTTTTCTGACCTTAAGCATTGCAGGTGCGTGGGGGCTGCAAGTCCCAACACGCGCACATGCCGGCTGGGTGCTATGGGGGTCGGAATCTCAGCATCCTTGATGGGCTTCAGATGGGGAAGGCTGACGTAATGGTACATCAAGGCTGGGGGCAGCATTCGCGGAGTTAAGAAATTCCCTCCCCACAGCTCTCCCGACAGGGGCTTTCTGAAAAGCAGCCCAGGACACAGAAGGCGCCCCCTCCCCCACGTGCTGGCTCCGGGAGCAGAAAAGATGAACATCGCCTCCTTTCTACGCACTGCTCGCTACCTTTTGAAGAAATCGCCCTCCTCGCAGGTACAGGACAGCCACGGGACGCGCTAGGCCCACCTCTCTCCCGGCTGCCACTGACTCAGGGGGACCACGTGCCCTCGGACGTCCCGACCCCTCCGCGCACGTTCTCCGCGAGAGTCTTCTAGGACCTTTTCCGCTTCCCGCCCTACCGCCCGCCCACTTCTCCTGACCTTTCCGAAGAGGAAGTGGCAGGGGTGACCCCGGATGGAAAGCGGAGAGCGGTAGCGCCTCATTTCCTGGGAGCGGGACGCAAACGTCTCAGCTTTGGTGGACGAGGAGGGTGAGCTGCGCGCTGCGTCAGGGAGACGCCGTTGTTGCCTGGCCCAGTTCGGCGCCTTTCCTCCAGGCCGCGAGCAGGGCCCCGCTTCTTCCCTCGGTGCGCCCGTTTCCTCCGCAGAAGGCCTTAAAGTTTCGTGCTAGGGAAAGTGGGGCTGGGCTGCTCCAGTAATGTTGGGCGCTTCTCTCGCTCTCTTTTCTGTCGTGTCTCCTGAAGGTCTGGGAGATGGGGCGCCTACTTCTGGGGTCAATCAAGAACCGAGGCGAGAGAGGAGCTGCTCGCAGTCAATCAACTGGACGGCAGTCTCCCGATGTTAAGGACTATTATTATTAGATTTTTATCCCACCTTTTTAATATGTAACTCAAGGCGACGAACATATTTAATATTCCTGCCTCTTATTTTCCCCCAACAACAACCTGCGAGGTGGGCTGGGCTGAGAGAGAGTGACTGGCCCAAAGTCACTCAGCCGGCTTTCATGCCTAAGGGAGGCTGAGAACTCGGAGTCTCCTGGTTTCTAGGCCAGCACCTTAACTACTACACCAAACTGGCTCTCAGGATGCTTGCTTTCACCTCTTTCAGGGTCCAAATAGCCAGGAACAGGCTCTCTAGATCCTTCTAGTTAGAGCAAGACATGGGAGTTTTTCCTGTGTGGTTTACGCTGCTTTGTTTTGTGCAGCTACTGGGGTGAGCAGAGCCAGTTTGGTGTAGTGGTTAAGGCATCAGGCCAGAAAATGGGGGACCATGAATTCTAGTCCTGCCTTAGCACAAAGCCAGCTGGGTGACCTTGGGCCAGTCACACTCTCTCAGCTCTAGGACAAAGGTAATGGCAAGCCACTTCTGAAATCTTGCCAAAAAAACTGCAGGGAATGTCCAGGCGGTCACCAGGAGTCAAGACTGACTCGGCATAAAAAAAAATCTGTCTATGCCTGAACCTAACATTGCAGGCATTCAGAGAAAACTTCCTTTCTGTAAGGCAGTTGTTCTGATGGTGAGGCACAATGGGTTTATTATTTTCCCAACTCTGACCTGTGCCACTGCTTTACAAGCCCTTGATTTCATTTCCACTCTCCATGAATTAGCTACCATGACAGAAAGGTAGCAAGGCCAAGGCAATCTTTCCCTTTCCATCTCCCTACCTACTGATATGGAGAAAACGAAGTGAGAGATAGCTTAGGATATTAAAAGCTAGGATCGTGTGGAGCGCTTTTGCAATGCACATTAATAAGAATGAAGCATTAAATATTAATAAAAATAATAATAATAAAAATAATAAAAGCATTAACTATGAATTAATAAAGCAGCCTTTTTTTTTTTTTGCAAGACTAATGAAGCTGCTTCAAAGCTAGCCTCGTTTCTTTATGTGCATGCACAAGCAACATTTCTGGTGGGTCTACCAGTAAAATGGCTGCATGTACCCAAATATGTGGGGATAGCTGTCAATCAGCTGTGTGAACCTTGCAAAGGATGTGCTGGTTTAATTATGTGAAAGGAGATTGTTTGCATTAATAGGTTATGAAGAAACTTTTTTGACTATTTTGCACAGACCTTTTAACAGTTATACAGACGGATCATCCCCAATACCCTTTCTTTTAAAGATATTGGAAAAGCTGGGTGGTATTTGGATTTATGTAGAAGGGACCTAAGAGTATAAACCTTGTGTCCAAATAATCTAGCGTGGGTTAAGTTGCTTGGAAAATACAAAATACTGAGGAGGCATGTGAAAAGAAAACTTGGTTGGGTAGGGTGGGAAAGAATTGTAATAGAATATGCTGGAAAAAGGTATAGGAATAAGCTCAATGTGTGTGATTTGTTTGGCAAAGCAGAGCCTACCATTGCCTTTATTTAGCAGAGTAACCAAAAGAACTCTTTGCAGTAGAAGTTGATGTGGATATAAATGAGTTGATGCAATTAAGATTAGATCGCTGTGTGTTGCTTTAAGTAGGTTTTAGTATCAATCATTTTAATTTGTTTCTATTTAAAATATTTAGTAAGAGATACAAGGCTGATTATTTAAATAATGTGATAGGTCTTGTGGTTCAAAATCAATTTTGACAGAATATGAACTTGTTTTAAAATGTAATTCAAATATAATTCAAATTTGACATGATTCTTTAACAACATTAATACGCTATCATAATTAAAGTTTAGGTTTAAGATTTGTTGTTCAGTTGATTCTAATGCTTTATGACCCAGTAGACATCAGTTTATCAGAATGCTCTGTCAGTGAGGTCTTGTTTAATAATAATAGAATTTTTTTTTTTGTTTGCAGCTGTAACAGAAGAACAGGCTCTTTAGTTAATATGGCTGAGGTAGTAGGGAGAGGAAAGAGAAAGTTTGTTGAAGAAGCTGATAGCATAACTGCTAAACGCCCACATACCGATTCTCTTGTTGAAAATGATGATAAAACTGCAGATAAAAAGTGTTGTGATGAAGGTCAAACAGGAGATAGAAGCACTCTTCATCGTGAAATAAAAACTGAAGAAACTGAAGAGGTTCCTAGAAAAAGAACAGTGAGTGTTTCAAATATTAATTTTTACGGTAATAAAATTCTTCCAGGCACTTTTCCCCTACGTTTGAGGATAATTAAAATGTAGGCTACTATTTGGATAGAACTTTAAAAACATATACAACTTTATGTTCTAGGCTGTTTTGTTAAACTTGTTGACCTTTTGGGTATAATTGCATAGGATACTGCTGTTACGGACAAAATCAAAACTTCACTATTCACTAGAATAGATGGATATTGGGAACTTCAGACTAAATTGATAGCCATACCCGGGAAGATTTTATAAAACAGTGTAGTGTACTAGTAGTGATTCCTAGAAGTCAGGATGGATTTGTCGAGGACAGGTTTGCCAGACTAATCTTACTGCATTTTTTGTTCATATCAATTTCTTAGTGGATTGTGGGGATGCTGTGCACATAATATATTTATACTTCAGAAAAACATTTAACAAAGTGCATCATGATATCCTGATGGATATGTCTGGTGGATTCATAGCTGATTTGAAAACTATAATCAAAGAGTGCTAATATATAGCTGTCATTGAAATGCAATGAAATATTAAGTGGGGGTGGTACAGAGTTCAGAATGCTCTTTAACATTTTCATTGATGATTTGGATGAAGAAGTGGGAATGCTTGTCAAATTGACAAAAAACTGGGTAAGATAGGAGCAGGAACAAGATTTAAGGTGATTGGACCTTTCCAACTTAATGAATGTATGAAACAAGAGCAGAATGTTTCCTTTTAAATAATAATAATAATATATTAAATTTGTATGCTGCCTGATTCTCATTGACTCTGGGTGGCTCACAACAATCAAACAAAGAAATTTCAATGAAATCAATAAAACATAGAAGATAAAAGATGTCAAGTGCAGTGAAGCAAGAGGTCTCTCTTTCTCCCTCACCAAAAGCCTGGGTAAAGACCCAGATCTTCACAGCTCTTTTAAACAGTAGGGAGTTACATGTGAAGAAAATGAAGCGACTTTAGAGTGTTCTTCAAACCAGTATTGCTTTTGATGATAAAGTAGCAGCAATATCCAAAAAATACCTTTGCCAGCATAAACACCATCTTCATGTTGTTCCCCTTTATATATAATATATCAGGAGGAGAAAGAATATCTGGTTATAGTCATACACATCTTATTTATACTTTATATTTATTTATTTATATTTTGAAGAATATATAGAACTTTGCCTGATTCAAAATACAATACTGCAGTAAGATGCTTACATAAGTTTGCTTAATCATCTTTCAGTATTTGTTTAATATGATCTTTTTCATGTTTCCTCTAGTCAAAATTTTATAGTTTTGCTCTCTTTTTTTCTGTACTGTTTTATTTTGTTTTTTTAGTGGATTGGAAAGAATTTGGCAGGAAAGATAAGCTCCAGATGTAAAGATGTAATTTTTTGATGTGAACTCTATTACTGTGAAAAGGAATCCATCAAATAAAAAATATTGGAACTTAGCTATCACCTAAATGTATATAAATATTTACATGCTATACTTAATCTTTTATTTTATGTTTTATGTAGCATGCAGAAGCTGTAGCAGCACATTATAATAAGCTTGAAGAGATTGGATTGGAACAGCGTAGCATGAGTCGCATCTTCTATCTCCGAAATTTTAACAATTGGGTAAAGAGTGTGCTAATTGGTATGTCTGTGTTTTAAAAACACCGTTCAAAGTATTTGTATATTCAGACATTCACTTTTTGGGGAAAAATTGACTGGTAGTACAACTGGCTATGAGAAACAAATGTCAAACTTAATTTCTGAGTTCTAAATATTAGATTTTATATTAGAAAATTAATATTTTGACCGCACAAAAAATTAGGACTGCACTCCTCACTGTTGCTCTATAATGCAAGCATTGCATGTATTTGTCAGAGTATTTTTCTGTTTACTGTTTTGGTCTTAAAAATGTGAGATTATAGTCATGAATATATTGGAAGGTAAAAGTAATACTTTTTGTCAAATGTATACCTCAGCCCAAACTAGTTTGGATATTACTAAAATTAATCATTGGGATCCTGAGAATTCAGTGATGAAAATAGCTTTCCTAAGATTTAGCACATAAAATAGAAACATTCTGATGTGAATTAAGTTTTCTTGGGATGCAGTCCTATACACTTAACTACAAATAAATTCCATTGAGCACACTGAAGCTAACTTCTGAGATGAAAACTCTGGCTCCATGCAAGCGTACTGTGATTATCTCATCATCTGAAATATAGGAACAATACACTGGAGCTCTAAAGCTCTCAAAATAATCAGGGAGCTGTATTCTAATACAGGGAGAACATTTCAAATTCTGAGGATTATTATTTTTTCTTTTAGGTGAATTCCTTGATAGGGTACGACAGAGAAAACAAAACATTATGGTGTTAGACTTGGGATGTGGAAAAGGTGGGGACTTGCAGAAATGGAGAAAAGGCCGAATAAGTAAGCTTGTATGTACAGGTAAGAAAACAAATTAATATGATATGGGAATCATGTTAAATTGTTGAGTAAAGTAGAAAAGGAAGTTTGAGATATCTTTAGTGACTTTTATTGTGCAAATATTATTTGTAAAAACAATAAGAAAATACTTTAAATCCAGATATAGGATAAACTAGCTTAATAGTACCTGGCTCTGCTGGGGTGAAGGAGTGGAAAAAAAGTCCAAAGGCATATTTATATCCATTTTATGCTTCTGTACACTCAAAATGGCTAATAGTGAAAACAATTCTGAAATTGAATGAAACTTGGATATTGTATGACTAAAACAGAATAAAAGTAGCAACTCTAGAATCTGGTGTCTTCCTGTGCAGTGGTCTAAAACAATTTCTCTTTGCATACCACCATGAAGAGGAAAGCAAGACCTTTCCTACAGGTGGGGAGATTTAAACTCTGCTTCAGGTATGTAGTTTCTTGAGTGGTGTAAGTAAAACCAGTTCTGCACTACTTAACAGTATATACTAGAAGGGATGTTTTAAATAGCACACCAAATGAAGTTGACAGAGGTTCCTTGTATTTGGCTGATTTTACAGCTGGAATTCTATTCGTCTTGCCAACCTACTAGATTCCTATCTGGAATCATAAGATGCATTATTGACCTCACAGAAAATGTTGCCACACATACAGTAAATAAATAGCACATGTTCTCACTGAAATGCTCTGTCATTGTTCTTTAATTGGATCTCCTCGATGCAGACGTTCCATTTCTAAGGTCTCTTAAATTCTATTTGATACATGGTTAACAAACATAAGCCCCCATATTCCTCAAAATATTCAAATCACTAGCAACTAGAATAGCAGTGAAATATTTGATTCAAAAGGCTTGTTTAGGATCTGAGGTTAGTTTTCCAGTAGCAGTGACAAGCCTTGACTAACTTTGTCTGACAGTAATGATGGTAGATCCTCCCTGGTGACCTTCTGGGTCAAATATAACAATGTCACTGTTTATCTTCCCACTTTTCCAGCTATGGAATCCTGCTGAATAATGTCTTAATATTAAAAGAGAAATGTAATTGATGTCTTTTTGATCGTGATTAATTTTCAGGGTGGTCCTGCCTTTTCCTGATGAGAGTAATGCTGTCTAGATCAGAGACAAGCCAAGAGCGGTGGCATCTTTGGCTTGACCTGATTTTTACTTTCCCTCCTTGCTACAATTATTCATACATATATATTCTCATATCAGGGTAATGTCTATAGAAAGCTCAACTATGCAGAAGCATATATATGTATATATACAGTCACAGACACACAGACACAAAAGGCATCCCATAAGACCAGGTGTATCTAATTTTACTTATGTTTTGTTTGTGTGTGTGTGTGTGTGTGTATATAAAACGTTATTTATATTTGTGTGTGTGTGTATATATATATATATAGTAATCCTTTGTGTTCGGAGAAGACATGCTATTGTGCAGTTAATCTGTGGACATGGCTCTGCAGTCCCAGTCTAGAAGTGCAGAGTCCAGCACAATAGGGACACTGGAAGTCCATTGTTGTAGTAACTGTGGGTGCTATTCTGTGATGCCGCTCACAGTTTTCTATCAGCTTTTGGTGGCGCCTGTCTTCAAAGCTACCAGTGGGTTCTGTCAGCAGCTGCAGCTTCTAGTTCCATTGGCTGGATGTCACAGTAGGGTTTCTTTCACAGTGTCTTTGTAGTGCTTGTGTGGTCGACCTTGAGATCTCTTCCCAGACTCCAGGATACTATAGAGCAACTGGCAAGGGATACAGTGGTCATCCATTCTGATGATGTGTCCCACCCACCGCATCTGAGCTCTGATAATCAGGGACTCATTGCTGGTGGACTCCATGTAATCCAAGACCTCCAGGTTGGAGACACAGTCTTGCCAACAAATGCTAAGGATGGAGTGGAGAGCGTGCATGTGAAATTTTTCCAGTCATTGGATGTGTCTTTGGAACAGAGTCTAGGACTCATATCCATATAGGAGAGAAAGGATAACCACAGCTCTGTAGACTTTCAGCTTTGTGGAGATACAGATGTTGTGTTAATTGAGCACTCTACTATGCAGCTGCCCCAATATCTGGCTGCTCTTATTGATCCTGGAGTTAATTTCTTTGTCCAGAAACAATTGCTTGAGATGATGCTTCCCAAGTATTTGAAGCTGTTTACATTTGTCAGCTGGATGTCGTCAGCAATGATTTTTGGTTCTGTGGGGTTGGTGTTTGGCACAGGCTGGTAAAGTACTTCAGTCTTGTACAGGCTGATAGTCAGGCCGAAGAGCATAGCAGCATCTGAGAATTTGTTCAGCATCAACTATAGATCACTGTCTTTGTGTGCCAGGAGTGCACAGTCATCAGCAAAGAGGGTTTCTTGGATTACTGTATAGAGGCACTTCATCCATGGGAGGTCAAAGAGAGCGCCGTCAAATCGGTACCTGATGTACACTCCTTCCTTCAGACCCTGGACAGCATGTGGCAGCATGCAAGGGAAGAACAGATTGAACAGGACTGGGGCAAGCACACAACCCTGTTTTACCTCATTGGAAATGGCAAATGCAGCTGATGCATCACTGTTGTAAAGAACCTGTCATTCCGTCATGGAATAGCTGAATCAACTTCACAAATTTTCTCGGGCGTCCATAACGTGTCAGGATGATCCAGAGAGCCTCCCTGTTTATAGTGTCAAATACTTTGTCAGGTCAATGAAGACAGAGTAAAGAGGCTTGTTCTGCTTGATGCATTTCTCCTGGACTTGTCTCATGGCAGATATCATGTCTGCTGTACTCTGTTCTGGCCGAAAGCCGCACTGCACCTTGGGGAGGTTCCTATCTGAGACAGTGACAAGTCTGTTCACAAGAATGTGGGCAAAGATCTTGCCTGCAATGGACAGCAAAGAGATACCCCTGTAGTTTCCACAATCTGATTTGCTTCCCTTATTTTTATAGAGAGCCATAATGAGAGCATCAAGGAAGTTGTCAGGCATCTCCTCTATGGACCAAATGTCTTCCAAGATGTCCTGGAATGCCTGTAAGGTGTTTGGGTCTAGTGCCTGTAGATCTCAGCAGGAATGTCATCCTGTCCTGTTGCTTTATTTGAGGTCATCTGCGAGATCGCTTTCTTGATCTTATCAGTAGAGGGAGGCAGGTCTAAAGCATCCAAGACTGGCAGCTGAGGAGTCTGCTGTAAGACATCATGATCAAATGTGGATGGCCTATTGAGTATAAATATATTTATTGAGTATAAATATATCCCATATTTGCCGATGTGATCTTTTACACTTAGTTCCTGGATCGAGTGCAACACAGAATAAAGTCACAAAGGACAAGTGATGTAACAAATGGAAAAATTGAGTAGGGAGATAGTACATATGAATAAGAATCATTGGACAAAGTGCCAAATGGCAAATACATAAGCATTGAAAAGAAAGGTGGAAGTCATTATGGATGTTCATGTTGTTGTTGTTCAGTCGTTAAGTCGTGTCCAACTCTTCGTGACCCCATGAACCATATTGCGCCAGGCCTTCCTGTCCTTCACTGCCTCCCTGAGTTTGCTCAGTTTCATGCTCATGTTCATGTTACACCAGTGGTAACCAGTAATCAGCTTCATAAAAAAAAAGTCTATAGGTTCTGAAAGATTCTTGGATGCTTTAATATGAAAATGCACCATATAAATAGTAAGGCCTGGAAAGCTATTTTCTGAATATTTCTAAAGCTGTGTTTGAATGCATGGTTAAGTAGATAAACAGAAGTTCAGTTTCTTCAATCAGTTTGGTTCTATTCATAAAATAGCCCAGTTTTCTAGTGAATCATTATTCTCAGTGTAGAAAATAAATGTTTGAGGCTGCTTGTCTTTAAATTTAGAACAAAGGCCTCTCTTAAAATCCCCAATCTCCCCACAAATAAAAGGAAACTGAAAATGGTAAACTTATTGTCTTTTATAGTCCTCATTTAGCGACCACAGTTGGGACTAGCAACTTGGTCGTTAAGTGAAGAGGTTGCTAAGATTTTTACTTCAGCTTTCCTTTGCTTTATAGACCTGTGAAAGTCGTAAATGCTAGGACTGGTTGCAAAGTTACTTTTTCATCACCATCATAACTGCGAACGGTCTCTGTATCATATATCCTGGTAAAATTTGAGACCCAAACAATAAAACAAAATGCATCCATTGGCAATAAAAAAGCTAACTGCATTGTCCTGTACTGTGCTCACTGCAAACAATTGTGTTAAACACTTGCCAAAGGTATTACTTTTAGGTTTGATCTAATATTTGCTCTGAATAAACATCACTGAATACTGGTACCTATGTACTATAAATAAGAACTATTGAACACATGTTCTAAACAGAAAGGTATTGATTTGCATTAAGCCTCCATTTTTGCTAAATGTCAGCCTTCGAATGAGTGATCTATTTAAGATTTTTACTGTTGTTTTTTTTAATAGATATTGCTGGCATATCTGTGCAACAGTGTGAACAGCGTTATCAATATATGAGAAATCGTGGTCGCCAGAATGATAGATTTTTCAATGCAGAATTTATAACTGCTGATAGTACCAAGGTATAGTAGTTTCACACTCTTATTTTATTTGTATTCCTTTGAGATTTGTTGTTCTTAGTGTAAAATGTAGAAAGTAGTTATATTATGAGTGAAGCAAAAATTTAGAAAAAGGTGTGGAAGAACACTTTTAAGTAAAATAGTTGCATATATTACAGACTGAATAATTAAAAGTCTTACTGCCGGGGGGGAATCAGGAACCTACAAGGAATTAGTCTTAAACATTCCCTCTCTAAAACTGTCAAGATTTGTGGTATATCAATGAATAAAGTACAAATTTATAATTTGTATCATATGAAACCATGTGTTCAGAAATTCAGAAGTTTATGAAACCGTTTTCCTATATAATACCACATCACAAATCAACATGTGGTTTGACTAAAATTGTTCTCTTCATTGTTGTTTTCTTTCCTGGGGGAAAAAACCCCCCTCCAAATGTTATTTTTTTAGGATTCAGTTCATAAAGATATAACAGTTATTAGTAGATATAAAAAGGTATTTTACTTAGGTTTTCAAAAAGTTTTGTAGTTAGGATGCTGGAATAATACACATTTGTTTTTACTTTTCTTTTTTGTTTGCTTCAGGAACTTCTGTCTAAAAAATACAGGGATAGCAATATATACTTTGACATTTGCAGCTGTCAGTTTGTGTATCATTATTCATTTGAGACCTATGAGCAAGCGGATATGATGCTTAAAAATGCTTGTGAGCGACTTTCCCCTGGAGGATACTTCATTGGCACAACTCCAGATAGTTATGAACTTGTGTAAGTGGGTGAGAATGAATTATGCTAGAGCAAACAAAGGAAATACTTTTTAAGTCAAATATTTTAAAATGTAAGCTTTTTTGGAATCGATTGGACAAACCATTCCTGCCATAACAATGATGAATATTCAACTGCTCATATTCACCTTGACTTTCATTTGTTTGTCTGCCTCCAGCTTTTCCCTTATTTTTTTTTACAACTGTTGTTGTATAAGTACAATTGGAGCAGTAAATTTTCTCCATAACAGAAGAGGACAGATGATGATCACCATTATTTTCTGTCAGTTATTAATTGCAATAACATATGTCTTTTTCCCCCATCCCACATTATAAAGCTTGAATGAAAGAAGCTTAATAGATTTTTCTATGAAAGGACTGAGTTCCATTTCATTCTGGTATTCCAAAATCAATTGCAGGACTCAGAATTATGCTTCATGTATATTGGTCCAGTGTATATCTATGTGGTTGCTAGGAATCAAATATTACTTGATGGCACATAATTAATACTGATCCAGCTCCAGTTTGTGGACCTTGTGGTTATAATCTAGTTTAATCCTATAAATCATGTAAATTAGAAATACGTCTGGTTTGAATCTGTATCATATTAGCCCACATGATTCCTAACACTTTTAAATTCTCAGATTCCCTCTTAAATAACCAACTCACCCTCTTAAGATATAGAAAAGCATTTTCTGCTCATTAAAATACCCCATCATGTATTTCACTGTTCCAAGCACTGAGTATGAAACCATGAGATAATGGACAATTGGAGCTATAAATAGAAACTCTTATCTTTTTTAAAAAATACAGTTAATAAATATGGCTGTGTGGCACTTCGGATGTGAAAGCAAGAATATGACAGGTGATGCTAGGAAGACACAAGTCTTTTGGTTTAAGGTCTTGCAGAAATATGCTATTTTTGCATCTCCCCATATTCTGAAGCACCATTTTGCTTTCTCATTTGAAGCACTACACAGCCATTACACTTTGGCTACTCTTTATTAACTAACTAACTTATTCAGGATATCCAAAGACATGTGGCCACCACGTTTCTGCGAGAGCCTGTTGAAAGGTCGCTTCTCAATGCGTGTTGGGGCAAGTCAGATGCCCCTTACTGAAGTGTCAAGACAGTTGCATTTTCCACAGCTGCTCCACTATGCCAGCAGTCTCAGCAGGAGTGATTTCCACATGCACAAATGTGCAGACAATCTGGAAAAGCCCTCTGAGCAGCTGCACCAAGCCTTTTGGAGAGTGTGGCTTCTTCACTGCTTCGAATATACTTTGTTCTGTTCAACAGGATTTTTTCATTATTTTATTTGGCTTCTTAGTGATCTTTGGATAGGCTGTATGATTCTACTTAAGTTTAACCAAATGTTGTAATTGTTTTTTTTAATGTTTTGCCATAGAAAACGCCTTGAATCTTCAGAAACAAACTCATTTGGGAATGAAATATATACTGTAAAGTTTCAGAAGAAGGGAGACTATCCCTTGTTTGGTTGCAAATATGACTTCCACTTGGAAGAAGTGGTTGATGTCCCAGAATTCCTGGTTTATTTTCCACTGATGGTAGAGTAAGTTTTAGTTAATACTCTTTTTGCATGTTAATTTAGTTTGGTTTTAATTTTTTTAACCTCTGCTCTGTATTTTAAGTATTGTCAGCTAATTTGAGTAGTTGACAAAGTAGAAAGATAAGTTATAAAACAACAATAACAAAAGTAATACTGTGTTTTATTTAAATGTTTGTCAGAGTTGCCCATAAGTTGGCTTTGCCTATTTTAAGTTTCTTTGAGGAGTAACAGAGCCAATGGTAGCCTATGAATTCAAACAAGCAGTGGACTTTGAATTCCCTTATATAGGTAGTCCTTGGATTATGTCCATTTGTTCAGCAACTGCTCAGAATTATGATGGTGCTGAAAAAATGGACTTAAGACAGGTCCTCAAAGTTCCTGCTGTTGCAGCGCCTTTGGTCATGTGATCATAATTCAGTCTGGCCTGCATTGATGACCACCCCCTTGCTGCCCCCCAAACACCCCACCTATGATTCCTAGCACCTGCCTGTAGCATCCCCCCACCCTTAGTTGTCACCTGCAGCTCTCACCCACTGGCCTGCTTGCCTGGGACTTTTGTCTCTTCTCATATCACAGTCACATGACCTCCTCACTTAATGACCTACATGGTTCTGTGGTTACAATGGAACCAAGTTTGCCTTTGTTAAGACATGCGGTCATGTGACATCACACTTTACAACTGCATCGCTTAGTGACGGCAATTCCGGTCCCAGTTGAGGACTACCTGTATCTTTCGTCTTCATTCCTGTCAGCCTCCTAGGTAGATCAGACAGAAACACAAGATGAGCTGATTCTACTTTATTGTAAGGCTACATTAACCGAATCCTGAAAGTATGAAAGTATGAATCTCCCACCATCTCTTTTTACAACATGATAAGTTAGGGTAGATCCTTTCTAAGTTTCTTTCTGTGCCAGTTATGCAGCTGCGGGCTCCTCCCTCTTTTATCTGATCATTCCCTAGGCAGCATCTCTTCCCCTCATCTCTCAGGGTCATTCCCACATACCATTACATCACCTTCCCCTCCAGACTCATCCTCCCCCTTGTGAGTTCCCAGGGGAAACAGGTTGTGAGCTGTGAGAATGAAATGTAGCTATGTCGCTCCCCTCTTCTCCTGGTAATTCCCTGAGATTGCATGAGATGTCCCGTAAATCATTTGCCCTAGTTGAGGTGACAGCTACCCCTCCTTCAGGAATTTGTTGGTCTCCCCCCCCCCCAATGCTATCCACTGCTACCAATACAGTAGTATATTCTTGCACTGGGGAAGGTCAGTGATGAAATCTAGAGAAACAGTGTCCCCGTAGCTATGACGGGGTCTCTAATGGTTGCAATAAGCCAGCTGGCTTATTAGGGATTGGTTTTGCTCTCTGACAGACATGACAAGAGGAAACATAATCCTTAATGTCAACATGGACTCTCGGACACCAAAATTCTCTGAAAAATCTATGTTGGGCTTTAAATGCCCCCCCCCATGCCCTGCTGTTTTGTTGTCGTGGCATAGCTGTAGTACTTCTTCCCTTAAGGTGAGGGGGCACATATAAAAGTCCATTGTGCAACAGCTGCCCTCTCTCCACTGTGAAAGGCAAAACGGTACCTTGTTGGGCTCCCTGGAGTTCATCTGGGCCCTGGCATATGCATGTGCTGCTGCTGTGCCTTAAATCTAATAAAACTGGTCAACAGCATATTCCTGCTCCCAGCGTTTCATGTTGGTCTGATTGATGGTGCGACTCAAAGTTGCATGGCTGGAGTATTGTTGCTGGGGCGGGGGGTGATTGTGGGACCTCATACTCTGGCTTATGTGAGAGGGCATCTGGAAGCTTGTTCTGGGAGACTGGGACTCATGAGATGTAAAAATCAAAATGGGAGAAAAATTCTGCCCATCTGATTTGCCGAGGGGTGAGGGATTGGGTCTTTTGCAGAACCTCTATGTTCTTATGGTCTGTACAAAGTTGTATAGGGTGGGCTTCTCCTTTCAGTAGGTGTCTCCGTTGTTGAGGCATTTTTTACTGCTGTAAGTTCTGTTCTGCTGGAAGGAGCACTCTGAAGTAAAAGGCACATGGTAGTAAATCTGCTCCTACTTCCTTCTCTGCCTGGAGTAGAACTGCTCCTACCCCCACTTCAGAGGCGTCTATCTGCACAACAAAGGGATGGAAGGGGTTGGGGTGGTGGAGGAGGGGTTGAGAAGCAAAGAACTGTTTTAACTCTTGAAATGCCAATTGTTTTTGGGTTGACCAGGAGAATCATGGACCCTTTTTTAAGAGCTGGGACAGCTGTTTTACAAAGTCAGCAAAATTAGGAATAAATTTCCTGTAGAAGTTAGTAACGCCCAGAAAGTGCTGGACATCTTTTGCATCACTGGGGGCAGGGATGTGTATGCCATGATAGAATAGTCTGTACCTTTGCTGGATCCATCTGTATGCCTTCCGTGGAGGTTCTGTGGTCTAAATAGTCTAGCTGAGGCTGGTCAAATGTGGATTTTTCTAGCTGGCAAGAGCTTGTTGTCCCATAATTTTTGTAGTACATTTCTGACATGGGTGACATGCAAGGAGGGTCTTTGGAATAAACTAATATGTCACCTGAGTACATCACCACATATTTATCTAAAATGTCTGAAAATATTTCGTTCATTAATCTAGAAAAAACAGCTCAACAGTTAACCAGGCTGAAAGGCATTACTATGTATTCAAACTTGCCATGCCTTGTATCAAAGGTTGTTAAATGGTTGTGTCCTTTCAATTCTGATTAGGTTGTAAGCACTCCTCAAAACTAGTTTTGTAAAGATATGTGCCTTTTGTAGCCGGTCTAGTAGATCTGAGATAAGTGGGAGTGGATAATGGTCTCTAGTTGTCACCCTGTTCAGGTCTTTGTAGTCATGGATGGTATGCATGGGGGCTCCCTCCTTTCCCTTCCGAGTGGTTGCTGCTTCTCCTTCTTGTTTTTTGGGACGCTGGCTTTAGGGAAGGAACGAGAGGTGTGGCTTGGGGGAGGAATGGGACGGCTTCTTGCATGTGTGGGACATATGGTTTGGGGAAGGAATGAGAGGCATGGTTTGAGGAAGGAATGGGATGTGCGGCTTGCAGAAGGTATGGGACATATGGCTTGGGGAAGGAATGGGACGTTGGCATTAGAGAAAGAACGAGAAGCATGGCTTGGGGAATGGTGTGAGACGGTGAAGGCCAGCGGTGTGGGGCTTCAGGTGGCAGTTCTCAGTGGCAACGGTGGTGCTGGGGCTGAATTTGAGGCCTGGGGGCAGTAGCAGCTGGCTGAGACTGCTGAAGGCCTTGGGCCTCTACTTCAGCCCCAGCCCTGGTGCTGCCTCCACCAAGTGCCACTGTGCAGGGCAGCTAGAAGGGCATAGATGTGGGGGAGATGGGACTTGCAGTGCCCTTGCAGTTGTAAGTGCAGGGGAGCTGCCAAGCACCCAACTTTTGATCATGTGACCATGGGGGCAGTGCAATGGCCGTACCTTCGGTCATGAGTCGTAAGTTCAATTTTTCAGTGCCATCATAGTTTTGAACAGTCACTGAATGAATTGTTAAGTGAGGACACCTGTACTGAATTCCAGCTTACTTTCCAGTGTCCATAGAATCAGCAGTATGATGTGCCTTCAAAAAAAGGCAAATGTAATTTAAGGCTGCTTGTATAAAAGTCCAGTTTCCCAAATCATGGAAAATAATTGTTTCTCTGCATTAGTCATATTCCACCTCAAGTATTGCTTCCAGCACTGGATGCAGTATTTTAAAAGGCAATTTGGAACAAGTGTAAAATGGCAAAGAGGATGACTGAGGACTAGAAATTAAGATTTTCCAGAAACAAGACAACTGAAGATTTTAATCCTGAGAAAATATGCCTTATCAAGTACCAGAAGAAGCATCACACAAAAAGAATGCCACAACATGTTCTCTGTTGTCTCAGAGTCAGAAAATAGAATAATGGTATTCAGTTATGGGAAGGTAGATTCCAATTAAATGCTGGACAAATTTCTTTACAGTAAGATCAGTTTGACAGTGAAACTCACTATTCAAGGAGGCAGTGGGCTGGATATCTTCAAGCAAAATTTAGACAGGCATTTTTAACAGATGCTTTAATTTTGATTTCCACATGGAGCACAGTATTAGACTTGGTGGCCTAAATAATTCCTTCTGATCCTGTAATGCATGTAGAAGAATTGCTGCAGTTTTGATGCAGATCACATGGCATCTCTGTGATACAGAAATAGTATTTGAAAACTTAGACAGTATTTTGAGGATAATAATAGTAATTTCATGATATGTTACTAAATTTACTCTGCAGCATGGCAAAAAAGTATGGAATGAAACTAGTCTATAAAAAAACGTTTCGGGAGTTTTATGAAGAAAAAGTGAAGAATGTGGAACATAAAATGCTTCTGCAACAAATGATGGCATTGGAGGTAACTGCTCAATATAGGTATAGAAGTGTACTATATTAAATTGTTGGTCTGGTCAAGTGTCAGGTACTTTTCAAATGATGTACTGTCATTAGATTAAAAGTGAATTTTGTAGTAGTAGTAGTATGTTAATTTGCATATGAATCAAATTTATTTATTTCAAGGTTTTAGCTTGTACTATTGGCTAACCACTTCTGTAATAAACATTAAAACATGGTATTTAAAATCTAATTGATGCATGGATACAACAATAGGACTAACCTACTGTAAAATGTTTTAAGTGTGTTATTGACAGATCCTAAGTCAGTCGTCCCCATTTAGATGTCATCAATCATGCTCACTGGAAATTATAAGAAATGTAGTTCCAACACATTTGGACAGCATCAGATTGCAGAAGGAGAATAGAATAGAATAGAATAGAATAGAATAGAATAGAATAGAAATCTTTATTGTCATTGTACTACTTGTACAATGAAAGAATAGAATAGAATAGAAATCTTTATTGTCATTGTACTACTTGTACAATGAAAGAATAGAATAGAATAGAAATCTTTATTGTCATTGTACTACTTGTACAATGAAAGAATAGAATAGAATAGAAATCTTTATTGTCATTGTACTACTTGTACAATGAAAGAATAGAATAGAATAGAAATCTTTATTGTCATTGTACTACTTGTACAATGAAAGAATAGAATAGAATAGAAATCTTTATTGTCATTGTACTACTTGTACAATGAAAGAATAGAATAGAATAGAAATCTTTATTGTCATTGTACTACTTGTACAATGAAAGAATAGAATAGAATAGAAATCTTTATTGTCATTGTACTACTTGTACAATGAAAGAATAGAATAGAATAGAAATCTTTATTGTCATTGTACTACTTGTACAATGAAAGAATAGAATAGAATAGAAATCTTTATTGTCATTGTACTACTTGTACAATGAAAGAATAGAATAGAATAGAAATCTTTATTGTCATTGTACTACTTGTACAATGAAAGAATAGAATAGAATAGAAATCTTTATTGTCATTGTACTACTTGTACAATGAAAGAATAGAATAGAATAGAAATCTTTATTGTCATTGTACTACTTGTACAATGAATCACCAGCAGTTTTTCATTCAGAGCCAACTGGTCAGCACAGTCTTTAAGCACCCGGCCAGAGATGCCATCAGGGCCGGCAGCCTTTCTAGGGTCCACAGCCCTCAAAATACTCCTCACCTCGTGCTCCTCCACGGTGAGGCAGGGGCGATATTGGACCAAAGGCTGGACTCTAGCTGCCTCTGGAGGCTCCACTTCAAAACGGGCAAAAAAATGATTCAGCTTCTCTACCAATGAAGCCTCCCCGTCAGCAGAAATGACATTATTCGGTCTATAGTTGGTAATTTGTTGAATCCCCTGCCACACCTGCCTTGTGTTGTTGCTATGAAAATGATCCTCAATCTTCATCTTATAATCTGTCTTGGCCTGCTGAATGCCTCTCTTCAGACTGGCTCTAGCAGCACTGTATTTTGCCCCTGTATTTAGAGATTCCAAAACTTTTTTCTCATTTTCAGTCATGCAGCTCTGTTATTTATAAAATA